CTGGTCGCTAGCCGAAATGATCGATACCATCTTGCGCGGACAACACGAGCACGGTTTACAACCGTTTCTCCGACGACAGTCATTTTTTAAAAGTTCCGTGCGCGTTTCATCTAATCTAGTCGTGAGCAGTACGAGTCGATGTCAAACTTTATCGATTCACAAAATTAACCGTTATGTAAACAAGTAGGGCCGTACGTATATTTTCGAAAAAACGTGACGTATAGAGAAACGACCGAATCGGACCTCAACGGGTGTTGCTTCGATCCACTTTTTCGCTAACGTCTTTATACGCTCGGTCCATCGATCAGGATGAATCGATTGTCTCGATTGTCGAAAATGTCTCGATTCCCGTGATAAATTCATTATCTCCTCCGAAAGTGCCGAAGCGATTAAAGGATAGTTTATCCGAGACTGCCACGAAGACAAATCGAACCGAATCGAGCTTCGGGACCGTAGTCGTTAATCATCTCAACTGCCACAGTCATCTTCTTCATTATCATTATTGTTGGCTGCCACGTATAAATCGATGGGCTCGTTGATTTTGAACGATGCGTTCCATCGCGTTCAATATATTCAATCGTGAATTAAATCAATATCATAATCGGATTCGTTAAGAGACCCAGTGTCACGCGATTCTCATCGAAGAAGACGATGACCGACAGTTTGTACACGAAACGCTGTTTACCTTGACGATTCTTCTATATTTCGAATCTTCCATGTTACGTTCGCAGTTGTCGGTAGAAATAACATCAACCGACGCTAATTTCAGAATATTGCGATATATAGGATGTGGCGATTTTTCATTGCATAAAAAAAAAAAGAAAAAAAAAAAAAGATAAAGAATAAGCAAAGCACAATCCGAATAAAATGGTGGCCGTCTCTGGTAGTAGCTCGACTTGAAAGGGGACAGCCATGGTGGGCCCTGAAGCCTTCCTGTCAGGGTTGCCACGCGGGAAGAGAGCAACGTGGCTTGTTCTATAACTACTTTGACACGTTCCCCGTCGCTGTTGTCAGTGAGTTTCGCCTTAAAGAACCGCGGGATGTCGTGTACCTCGCAGCGGTGCATCGACGTCCCGCGGCTCTTTCAGCCGAAACACTTCGGAACACTTTAAAATCGGTGTACGTGTACGCTACAGGGTTGCCAGCTGGACATTTTAACGCCAAATTGTAGAAATCCAGATTTTTATCCAGAAAGTTCAAATGCATCTGTTTGATTGATTTCAAAGTATTCGGTGTAGCCAGAAGTGGAATATCGCGAATTAGTCGGGAAATTAATTTGTCTGGTTGGTCCTTTTTTCCATATTAGTACGATATTTGCTCGGATCATTCCAGGCGAAGACAGGAATGACCTGAATCTCGAGCTTTTCATTCGACGAAGAGGATGAAAAATACATTTAAATTTGGTTGGCTTTTACTGGCCTTTTTTCTAGGACTGTTTGGTTTCAAATTAAAATTTCAATCTGGCAACCATGGCACGCTAGAGCTTTCGATTGGTGTCGTCTCTTCCACTCTCTCTTCCTTTCTCTCTTTCAGTCTCACACGGCGCGTATCCCGTGATGGATTGGATTTATGCGAATAACGAAAACTCGAAAGGGGCCAAGGAATCGACGAGCGACAAGAGTTTCGATCTTTATCGTTGCCGTGCGTCGATCGATCATTGTAAATAGTCAAGGTGCTCGAGAGTGCTTTATTCGTGGTCTTATAGCGTTGGAGGTTTATAGACATGTACGCGCAGACGGTCCAAATCCGCTATTTTTTGTTGGCGCGATAATAGGAGCGAGTAGAAGAGGACATCTAGCGTTGTAACAAAATTTTTCCCATCTCCGTGTGGACGCGACTTAATCGCTCCTGCTTTTGCTTCCCCTCGAAGCGATGCATTTTTCCCACGGAAGATCGGAAACAATTTCACGACGATGAAGTAATTAGCGCCGCTATCACGAGGCTGGATCGGTGGAAACGCGTGCACCGTGCCCGTACAACGACGAATTCGCTTTATAAAGTGGGCAGATAAACCGCTAGAAAGTATTACGTTGCATTATCGATATCATCGCGTTCACAACGTTTTATCGTTCGTTACGCGATGCTCCAGCGGCGAGTAGATTATCGAGAGGGGGAGGTCCGTTTAATGAATTTCATCCTATATCGTTCAATTGTTATCGCCAACGGCAATACGTTTCCGGGTAGCTTGTTAGCCGACTGCATTGTTTTTACGATAAACACGCCCGTACCTTTCATTATTTTCAACGGTACAAATTGTTGGAGCTGTTTGCTGGCCAGTGTGCTCGTGAAACGGATACACTACACGATCGTTGGTTAACAAATTTCTAAATTAATAGCCAGCAGGATATAAACGTCGACGAAGGACATTTCTGGAGAGGAACTTTTCATGAAATTTCTTTAATTTAAAAATCGTTTATCCGAATGCACGTCGAGTCAGAGCAGAGACCAGTCGAAGGGAGAGGCATTTCCATGGCGAGGATTCAGAGGGGAACGCACAATGAAGCGCCTTAAATCTCCTCTCCGCCAATGTAGATTTGTACGTACACGAGCGTGGACTTGGATTGGAGCAAGGGGCGACAGCGGTGGATGGTTGGCCGCGAATCAAAATGGAGCATTCGTGCCCCGATAACCAGGGGGCGCAAGCATTGTCGCACCCCGTCGAGATGCCATTAATCCGACACTCCGCGCGGCATCTCGCAATCTCGCAATCTCGCAATCTCGCGATGTCAACGGGGATGTAATATTACCGACTCGTATCTCCTCGAAACCCCTCTAGCAGCGATGGAGATCCATCCGTTTAGAAACAAAGGCATCCATACTTAACGGTCATTTGGGTCTGCGGACGTTTGAGATATTCGGAAAATTCCATCGAATCTCGCCATAGCAGGGCTTGGCGTGACCCACAACGAACCCAGGAATGCGACAAGACTCGACATTCAACGGGAGAACGGAAACGAACGTTAAGCTGGAGCGAATTCGTAACGCGAGTTAGGTTCCTCGTAAGAAGCCTCCCTAACGATCAAGCCCTGTCGCCGGTCGGTTTGTACCCAAATATTTGTCTCATTCCAACAGTGGACCCGAAGGAGTGGCTCGAGGAACACGGAGCAGAGGAACAAAATTCTCCAATAGCTAGCGGCGTATAGATACAGGCTCGTTAGCGAAATCGTTGATGGAACAGCGTCGCCCGGCCAAGCGTGGGAACCACGACTTTGGACAATTTAGAGGAGCGAAGGTGGCTTCTAGCGAGTTTCTTTAAAACATTCAGGCATCGTCCGACTCTGGAGACCAGGCTTGTCATTGATACGGACTTTCTCGACGAATCTGGAATGCCTTGCGATTGTTTAATGCCGGATGGGTAGGCTGAAGGTTCTGCGTTTTCGTTTCCCCTGGCTAGTATTTGCTTCCTCGAGCCTCGGCGATTCCGCTACACCTCTTGCACCGCTTGCACCGACTGCGCTCGATTCAACGCCATCCGAGGAGCCTCCGTTTCGCTCGTGTACCCCGTGCACGCAACATCGACGGTGCTGAAACGAACACACAGGGGCGGTCTGCAGGCGGTCTTTCCAGCACGAAAGCTCCGCCTGCGAACCCGTCCTACGGGTGCATGCACGTGAAACGTCAGCTTCCAACGCGTGCAACTGGCGAGCTCGTCACCGGCCAGTGCATCTGCTATCCCGTTTCAGGTATACCTGCGACTGCACACGCTCGCCGCCGGACAGACACGTCTGGCACTCGCCACGTGTCGCGAATGGGTCATTGGTATGCGGCGTACACGCTATTGGAAGGCGCGAGAGGGAATTCGATCAGCCGCGATCCGTCGATGCCCTCTTCGCTGACGGGGGTAGTAATGGACCTCTGGCGGAGATACGATTTGGGACATTGGCTAGGGACTTTGGGAAGAAAGAGACATTGTTTTGCGCTAAAAGTGTTATTGGCGTCCAAGATCCGACTTGGTAGAAGCATTGAAATTGGATGGTGTCGTGTCTAAGGTGTGGTTCCAACGTTGGGAGTCTGCGCCGAGCGTTTACTTTTTACACAGTTATCGTTAATCGTCACGACTGCTCTCGTTACACATCCTAGCGATCAAAGTATCGCGCACTCGTTCATTTCCTCTGCTATTCTTTACGCTGCGATCAGCGTAAAACGCGAAACGTTGTGTCTGCTCCATTTCGCAACAGAACGGGACATCTCAGCCAGACACATTTTCGAACCGAAACGCCAGGGAACGTTCCCTGCAGAGCAACCGAAAGCGTGACGAGTCGATACTTTCCATCGGATACCATCGGTTCGGGTTATATGCTAATGCCCCCGCGCGCCATGACACGATACAGTTTTCGTCGTTAACCCCTGCCGACCTCCGAGTGAAAGTGCAGACAACGTCCGTTTCGTCGTCTGCTCGCTGCTTCCCATCCGTCTGATCGATCGATCCCTCGATCGAGACGGAAAGACCCGATGAACGACTTCCGTCCATGCGATCGAAACGATAGCTTGTTTCAATTTTAAACAATTGTTCAAAGTCCTTCGAGATCGAAGAATCGCAAAAAACTAGGGTGCGCCAAAGTTTCATAAAAGTGCGAGATGTTGCCCTAGAAAGTGGCCAATTTGGCGAAGAATACTCTTAGGTGGAAAACATCCAGGCGATTCGGTTTCCCATTGAGGATATCCGCGGCATGAACTTTCCTAGGACAAAGAGGATTTCGGCGGAAACGTGTATCGTCCTTCCACGCTCGGGGAAAGGACCTGTACGCGGGAATAAGGGATTAGACTTTCTTGGAGAGAATTTTCCTTTGGTCCAGGTCGACGCGAGACCGGGATATTAAAGAGGATATATCAAGCATTATTGTACAAAGTTCTCGCCGCTGTTCTGTAACTTTGAATAAATTTCCCCCGTAAAACATTGGGGGTTTCCGAAGATCCAGCTTGTTACGTCGTTCTGGAATAACTATGCGATATTGCATAGCGAGATGCGTGCGTGCACGGGGTGTTGCTGCTTGCACGAATCCTGGCAATATGGGGAAAAATTGCCATGAAAATAAAGGAGTTTCGTGGAAAGAACTAGACAAGCTTAGCATACCGGCTGGTTCGAGCAAAGTTGTATCGGATACACGAATTGTCAACCCGGATCGAAATAAAACGAAAAAATACAAATACATTGGCAATGAAGTTCCCGGCTACCGAGCATCGCATCTCGAGTCCAGCCACCGTAGCGGATAACTGTTTAATATATTTTGCCAACTATATTTGACAAGCGAGTCTTTCAGCTCGATTTTCCCTCGTTTGATAACGCTCATTGTCGAACGATCGAAGAATAGGTAGTAGCGAGCAGGAAACCGTGGCCGTTCGAAGAGGAAAGTGTGCCACGCGAAACGTGCCCGCCTCTTCTGCTGGCTGTAAATCTAACGAAACCGTAAACTCTGCTGGACCACCTGTAACTTGTTGTTCCGCATGCTCGCGAAGCGTTGATAAAATCAACCTGTTAAACTGCACTCGCGTGTACTTTCTACTGGAACTGTGTTCCTCGGATAGATTAATCCTCTATTTGAATATCGCTACGAATGAAAAAAGCTAAAGATCGAATTCCTAAAATAATTGATCAAAGGGCTCTCCGATATTTTTGCAGGGATAGAATTTTTCGATTAAGGTATCGGCATACGTTAATTACGATTCGCACAGGCCTCGCTAACGGTACGTCTCGCGATTAATCCAACGAGTGATTAGTAGGACTGATCGAGTATTCCGATTGGCACGCGAGGTGGTTAATCTTTGACTGGGAAATACGAGGAAGTGATGTCACCTTGACGACTCGTAAATACGTAACGAAGCTTGGAAACCCCCGCGCCCTAAATCCGCGACCGCCTAGATTCGTCATTGTACCGTGCACGCCGCGCGCCGTGGCTTGGAATTTGTAATCTCTCGTGCTCTTCCAGTGTACCTAGGGTGATTCATCATCTTAGGTATACTCCGGTGCAACGGATGAGTAACTAGCGTACAAAACGAACGCGAGTAAGTCGATTGCGCTCTTTGCGATAGGTAATATCGCGATAACGACAAGACTATCGAAGAAACTTTTCCTCTGACTGCATGAAAGAATTTTTGGTTCAAAAGTCGGCGTATAGTTCAGGGGTTGATCCATAGATGGCGCCAATTGTCTAGTCGCTAGCAACTACCCCTTGAGATCTTAAGAAACGTTTAATCGATATTGCTCCCAACAGAGCCTACGTGATCTCTCACGCTCACTTGTCCCTCTCTACCATGCTCCGAATCGTCATTCGTAACGTCTCGAGCACGGTAAACACGTGTACATCGCGTTAGTGGGAAGAACTACTGAACAAGACCAGCCCCCATACGTGTCCCCATTCTTCCGACCGGAAATGGCACGAGCAAATCGGACCCTCGCGCAGTATTCGAGGACGACAAATCACAGGGTTCGTTCGTTTGGAAAAAAGAAAAAAAAAAAAAAGAAAAGGTATAGCGAAAGAAGCAACGAACCACCGTTCGTCGGCTACATAAACAGCAACAACCCTGCGAAAAGAGCTGCAGCTCGAAGGTAAGAAACGAGAACGTGAGGGAGGGGAAGGGAAGCCCTCCAAGACGGGGAGAAGCAGCAGCTTGATAAATGCGCGCCCGTACGCCTAGGAACCAGTTTGGTGTTTACCTAGTAAGTAGTGTTGTCAGTCAGCTGGTTTGTTGCATCTTCGCCGAGGCAGCAAGCCGCCTGTGGCGTGGAACGGTGTTTCTCTCGCGCGTTCGTTTCTCCCTCTGTCTTTCTCTCTCTGGTCGTGTGCAAGTTTCGCAGCCTGGCGTCACCGGTGTTCACTTTTAGAGGTAGAGGACTTTGTCTCAGAGGTGGGGATCGTTCCGTGGGTGGTGGTGGTGGTGGTAAGTTGGTCCGGTAGTGGGGCAAAAGGGTGGGGGTAACTGCACGCCGGCAGTCATGCAGGGTGCGTGACCGTCGATGGAATAGAGATTCGGAGTTGGAGTCAGTTGCTCTCCGACGTTCCTGGTGGAATGTCGTCGCGCTTGGACCGCTCCGCGTTTACTCGTTACCCGCGCACGTAGTTTCTCACGAGGGCCTGACGGACTCTAGTCGCGAGCGGTTCATGGGAACATCGCGTTGCGTCTCGCGGCCGTTGCGACCGATCGGTGTTTACGTTCGTCGAATCGATAGTGTCCGTGCGAGATACCTGTCCCGACGCCGACGGCGCGACCAACACCAATCGTGTCGTCCTGTTCTCTTCTGTTATTCGAGCACCGTGTGTAACAACCGGGCGTACGGTTGAACGCAAGTGCTAGTGACTATGAGTGCGTGACGATAGGACACGATCGCATCAAGTTCGTTTGTTCCCGTGCCCGGAAACGTGATTCCCAGCGACTATACTCAGAATGGAGCCACCGGGTCGGCGCGTAGCGGTGCCGTGGATCGTTTGGTGTCTGGTTCTGAGCGGTGGCATGATAGACGGTCGCAGCATCACCAGCCTCGAGGCACCGAATGGCTGCGAGTGGAACAAGGACAGAGAGGACGGGGAAAAAGCGCTCGCCTGTAGGGTTAGGACTATCGCCAACGTGCCAGGCCTAATTGGCAATCTCTCGGCCATTCAAGTGGACTCGATCGGTTCTTTGGCCTTGGAGTGCAGCGACGTGCTGTTCTTCGAGAGTCAGATCGACGGGCCGCAAGGGTTGTTCTCGCCGCTACCGCGGCTGGAGAAGCTTCGCGTCGAGTACTGCAAGATCCGTTACTTGCCGGGCGGTGTGTTTTCGTCCGCGCACAATTTACGCAGTTTAACCGTCAGAACGCACAACAGCGACTGGTCGACAATGAGTCTGGAATTGCACAGAGATGCCCTACGCGGATTGACGAGCCTTCAACATCTCGATCTGGCCGACAACAATCTATGGACCCTGCCGTCGGAGCTCTTGTGCCCCGTGCAGAGCCTCTCTAGTCTGAATCTGACGCGCAACAAGTTACAGGACATCGTCTCCCTGGGATTCTCCGACTGGGTCGAGTCGTGCACGCCAAGCCTCGAGGTGCTAGACCTGAGCAACAACGACCTCGGCGAATTGCCCGATCGCACTCTTAGCAATCTTCACGGTTTGACGTCGCTGAAACTCCAGGATAACGCGATCGCGGCTGTCGGCGATCACGCTCTGGCAGGTCTGACAGCGCTGCGCGCGCTCAACGTGTCCAGCAACAGATTGGTCGCGTTGCCCCCGGAATTGTTCGCCAAGACCAGAGAATTACGGGAACTTATCCTCAGCAACAACTCGTTGGCGGTATTGGCGCCAGGTCTGTTGGATAATTTGGACGAACTACAGGTGCTGGACTTGAGCAGCAACGAGCTGACGAATCGCTGGGTGAATCGAGACACGTTCTCACGGTTGGTCCGTCTCGTCATTCTCGATCTGTCCTTCAACGGTCTGACGAGGATCGACGCCCACGTGTTCAAGGGCCTGTACAGCCTTCAGATTCTGAAGCTCGAGCACAACGAAATCGACACGTTGATCGACGGTTGCTTCGGCTCCCTGACTAATCTCCACTCGTTGACTCTTTCGCACAACAGAATCGCGAGTTTCGATCCTGCTCACACGGTGGGTCTGACCACTTTGGGTCAACTGTTTTTAGACACGAACAAGCTGAGAACCCTTCATCATCGCGTGTTCGACAATCTGACGGGTCTCGAGGATCTTTCGCTGAGCGGAAACTATCTGACGGAGATACCGTACGCGGTGCGCGCGCTGCGTTCGCTAAAAACCCTCGACCTTGGCAACAATCACGTGTCCAGAATCGACAACGATTCGTTCGCAGGATTGACCGAGCTGTACGGGCTGCGACTGGTGGACAACAAATTGGAAAACGTGTCCCGCGAGGCGTTCGCCTCGTTGCCGGAACTCCAAGTGCTGAACCTGGCCAACAATTACATTCGTCACGTGGAGCAGAGCGCGTTCGCGAGCAATCCCGTGCTGCGCGCGATTAGGCTGGACGGGAACCAGCTGACGGAGATCCGCGGCGCGTTCACGAGCCTCTCGACCCTGCTCTGGCTGAACGTGTCGGACAATAAGCTGCTGTGGTTCGACTACAGTCATCTGCCGACCAGCATAGAGTGGCTGGATATACACTCGAATCAGATAAGCGAGCTGGGGAATTATTACATGGTGCGGAACACGCTGAGCATAAAGATGCTGGACGCGAGCTACAACCAAATCGGCGAGATCGCCGAGGCGAACGTGCCGGACAGCGTGGAAACGTTGTTCCTGAACAACAACAAGATACGCAAGGTCGCGGTTGGTACGTTTCTGCAAAAGAGGAATCTGGAAAAGGTGGTGTTGTACGGGAACGAGATAAAGAAGCTCGAGGAGGCGTCTCTCGAGTTGCAAACGATCTCGGACGACGCGGAACTGCCGCAATTTTACATCGGAAACAATCCCATTGTTTGCGATTGCACCATGGAATGGCTGCCGAAGATCAACGAGGAGGACCGACCGCGAAAACATCCGCGGGTGATGGACTTGGACTCGGTGACGTGCGAAATGGAGCTCGCCAGAGCAACCCCTCGCAGACCTCTGTTGTCTTTGAAACCCAAGGATTTCCTTTGTCGTTACGACGCTCACTGCTACTCTCTGTGCCACTGTTGCGACTTCGACGCTTGCGACTGCGAGATGACCTGTCCCGACAATTGCTCGTGCTATCACGATCACAGCTGGTCGAGCAACGTGGTGGACTGTTCGAACGCGGGCTACAAACACGTCCCCGAACGGATCCCCATGGACGCCACCGAGATCTATCTGGACGGGAACGAGCTGGGCGACCTGGGTAGCCACGTGTTCATCGGAAAACGACGGCTGGAGGTGTTGTTTTTGAACAACAGCGGGATAGCGGCGATCCACAATTGCACGTTCAACGGCGCGAGCGCGCTGCGCGTCCTTCACCTCGAGGACAATGCCCTGCGCGAGCTGAGGGGCTTCGAGTTCGATCAGCTGGAACGCATGTCCGAGCTCTATCTGGATCACAACGCGATCGCCACCGTCGGGAACACGACCTTTAGGAAGATGAAGGGTCTGGAGGTGTTGCGGCTGGACAGCAATCGTATCGTCGACTTTCGGCCGTGGGAGGCTCTACCGAGCGTCGGCGATCGCGCCAAAGTCGCCCTGGAGGGTAACGCCTGGAGTTGCGAGTGCGGCAACGCTGCCAAGTTGCGCAGCTGGTTGGCAGAGCATCGAGGCGATCCCGAGAAGATGTACTGTCGCGACGGCGTCGAGACGTTGGCGCAGGCTATGAAGCGTTGCGGCGACCCGTCCACGGAGGCCGTCAGTCGCGGAATCCAGGAAATCCCTCTGTTGGGTGGCAACTTTGTGCCGCTTTTAGCCGGCGCTTTGGTGGCTGTGATCGCTATTTGTCTGTTCGTCGCGTTGGCCTTCGCGTTTCGGCAGGACGTGCGGCTGTGGGCTCACGCACGTTACGGTCTGCGTCTGGGCAAAATGACCGCGCCGCCCGACGAAGAACGGGATCGTCTCTACGACGGCTACATCGTCTACAGCGAACGGGACGAGGACTTTGTCTCCAGGTACCTGGCCGCTGAATTGGAGCAATCCGGGCTGGCTCTGTGCCTCCACTGGAGGGATCTGCCGCCCGCCAGACCCCAGGAGGCGGTGCCACCCGCCGCAGCAGCCGCCAGACGCATCGTCATCATCTTCTCGCCGGTGTTTTTGGCGAACGAGTGGCAGCACGCGGAGTTCCGAGCCGCGCTGAGAACCGCGCTGGAGAACATCAGACCCAGCTCGAGGAAGCGACGAGTGGTGGTGCTGTTGGCCACGGAGACGCCCGCCAGAGATCCAGAGCTGCAGCTGCTGTTGCAGACCTGCACGGTGGTGGTGTGGGGCGAGAAGAGGTTCTGGGAGAAGCTGCGGTTCGCCATGCCCGACTCCGTGGGCAAACGACGAGACAGCAAGAAGGTGAACGACCGAAATCGCGTCCCGGCGCGGTACACCGCGGCTCCATCCGCTGGCGACGTATGGACCAAGTCTAATGGTGTTTTGGTCGCTCCGGTCCACGCACCCACGCCAACGCCCACGCAGTCCACCTATGTCAGCTCCGCGTCCAGCAGAACAGAGGACGAGGATAGCGGCGCGGAACACCAGCACCAGCACCAGCACCAGCACCAGCACAGCGGTTACAGCGCCCTGAACGCTGGCAGCGCGAGGCCTGCGAGCCTCTCCTCCAGGGGCAGTCATCATTACAGCACCATACTCGAACCCCCTGTGCCCAACGCGCCCCCGGGAGAGCCTCGTACTTACTTTGTCTAATAGGAACGGTACGCGATGCCGACGATTCGCTGGCTGGACAACCACGGGGTTAAGATCAGCCGGTGTGCGATACGTTCATCTGTCCGTGTCGGGGACGCGACGGAGACGCGTGCTGCGTAGCTATTTGTACAGTTTCATTCCGACTCGCGCGTCAGTCTGTTTGCTCTTCCACTAGAATCCCTCGACCAAGGATTTTCTCCGCGTTCGAGCGCAGAGGGTGGGTTTTTGGGGCGATTGCGATGAGAGTACGGTAAGTCCTCGACTTGGCGGCGAGGTTTCATATGCGAGGGACGAAGCTCGTGGGTCATCGTTGACCCGTGGGAACATTTATTTTATCTATGATTCCGTGGGAATACATTTTAGAGCAATTTGGTTTTAGAAAAGATGCGAAGAGGAAAGAGTGGATGCTTAGGATGTTTGAATGCAGGAGAGTTCCGAAGCTGTGGTCGAGTAGGGGGAATCGTGGGTAAGATTGTGATTGCTAAATTGCTAGGTTACCGAGGAGGCGCGCGAGAAGCGAGAAGGATTAGGTTGGGTGGACGAAAGTGGTTTTATCGATTTTGCTCAGTTTTGTTCCCGATGAAATGATGAACCTTTGATTCGTTTTTCAACTCGTTAGAAAAATTAACGAACGCGGACGATGACGGTGCAAAGAAATGCACGATATATTTTTTTAATCCGCGCGAACGAAGCTTTCCAGTTGCTTACCGATATATGTGTACTTTATTTGAACAGAGGGTTAAAGAGTAATGGCAAGCAAAGCGACTGTAACCGCGTTATCTTTATTCGATACGTGGATTCTTTCGTAGACGTAAAACATGTGCGAGGATATCGGCGAATGGTGCTTAGAGTACCTGTAAATCCGCGTTACTCGAGGACTTACCGTATCGTCTGCCGAGAGGCTTTGCGTGCGTTTAGTTCGTTCGCAACCTGTAAAGTTAATCGATCAAAGAGACCAGGTTTATTTAAGACGTTTCTGTGGAACGAGACCCGTTACGCAGGACCGTGATCGAGTCATTATTTTTACGTACTAGCCGAGAGAACGATGCGAGCTTCTTCTTGCGCGAATCTTGTACAGAATGTATGGTGTGCGTGGATACAGCGGTGAGTAATTATAGGAAATGGCAGTCGATGAGAACCATAGATTCGGATTGTTTTCGTCGTTGAGCCCTGAGCGATCCCCGCCGGGCCGAGAGAAACCATCCTTGGCTCCAAGTATCGAATCATTTTAGAAATTTTTTAGTATATTTACCGATCCGAAAAGGCTTACTTAAACGCACCACCACCACAGCTTGCAGAGTCGATCGGCTCTTTAGATTCGGTAACTTGCTAGTCGATTCACTCGGTTTAGCCGAAATAATCGATAATTAATTATGATTTACTTGATGAAGAAGGACTCGGAGGACTTGTTGCCTGCATCATTATTTATTTTCGGTCTTTATTTACGTTAAGTCGACGCCGAGAAACTCGCAGGATGATAGAGTTTCGCGATGCAACGGGTGTCCACGACGGTTCTTCGTTTTCTTTTCGTCTTCGTTTGGTTGTTTCTTTGGAAAAATGTAATATTGGTAACTACGTTTAAGTTTTCTTAAACACCGGAAGACTGTTGAGGTCTTGCAATCAAAGAGTTACTTTAAAATTTCCGCTCCAATTACGTCTTGAAATAATTAGAAGAGCAAGGTTTTGAAATAATTAGAGCTCGTAGTAATTGGAGGATCGCTCGATTAAATTCCTTGAACGATCGGAATTTTACATATTTTTAATAGCGGGTTAAGTTTGACGTTCCAAAAAAAAGTTCACAGTATTATTTTCATTCTCGATTTAGCGAGAAATCGATCCTCCAATTATTTTCTTACGCCGTCAAACGATAACTGTAACCGTTTAAAATTCGTATGATTAGCTTGATATGTTCATCCAAGCTTCTTCGTTTACCGAAGACGTTTGTAGGTTTCTTAGAGGAGCAAAAAATTGTTACTCCAAGCGTTCTGAGAATGAGCGTGATTCAAGTTGAAAAAGTTTTATTTTGAGTTATTTGGAAATTAATTTGACGAAAACAAGGTAGAATTTAGCACAGGATTCTGATTCTCAGATGCTCGATGCTCGAAAGTTTGAATACACGCGTTACAGAGGCTTTTCTTTATATTACCGTCTTCCATAGACTCGTCATTGTTATCTTCGATTAATGTTCTTCCATTTACGACGCGTCGACTCGACGATTTCAACGGTTTCTCCGACGACTCGATGCTGCAGAAACTCTTGGTTGACAGAACGAGGAACGTGCAGTCGCGACAGGGTATTCAGACTTTCGATCGATGCGAGATCAATTTCCAGAAATTAACGGAAATAGTTTTCTAAAGAATAAGAAACGCGTTATTCTCGATACATTTAGCTTGAGATTCGTTTAATAATCGCGACTCTCGAGTACCTTAGCGTTCCTGGGATTAGGTTCTGTGAAAGTGCATTCTGTATTCTTCTCGTACGACGATGTAACGGATAAGAAACACGAGACAAGAGAACGATACGTTGACGTTGCGCCAACTTTGAATCTCGAGGCGGACTCTTCTTCGTACTATGAGTCAGAGACGGGCAAAATTTTATTAGAAAATTAAACAGGGAATGGAGGCATTACGGAACAAACGATAAGTTTTGCCTTTGGAACAATTTATTTCAATTTTAATATTAAATTTAATTTAACGTTTCGTTTGATATCGTATTACATATTTCAGTTTTATTTTTATCGAAGGAAACAAGCCTTCTGATTCTTTATTCGAAATCGACGTTTCGATAAGAATTTTGCCTCTCTCTTCGACTAAACATATACTCCTACACATGCGATTGTATTTTTTCCACTCGAGAAACGGAGCTTGCGGTCACTGGTTCTCATTCCTGTCGTTCCGTTTGTCAATTTACGATGGGGGAGATTTAACGACGAGGAGGAACCGCCTATAATCGAGAGTGAGGGAAAGAATGAGAGCGAGTGTGAGCACAAAAGAGAAATGAGAGAAAAGAGACAGACGTCTCCGCGAGACCTCGTTCCTAAGATTTCCACGACTGTCTTGAAAAAAAGCAAAACGGTCGCCAAACGCTTATTAGTACGTAAGTTTTGAAGAGTATCCTCTTGTAAATACTGTGTATATCTAACATGTTGTAAATACTCACGCACACTATATCGAGCACACGGGGTATGGGCCTAGGCGCACACATATACGCGAGGTTGTATCTAACACGTTTAGTGCCCAGGCCGTCGTTTCGAGCCGCGTCTAAACTTCTAAATCTTGCAATTTATCGATTGTACTTGTATTATTGTAAATACTGCTCATCGGATCACGCATTTATTGTATTCACGATCTGTTACGTGACTAATTAAATTAACTGCCACTTTCCATTCCAGCAAAGAACCATCAGAAATAAACACGTTTGTTTTGTAAAAAAGAATCACGAGAGTACGCACATGTAGAATTTTTTCTTCGTTCCTCCACACGTCGTCGCATCCATCAACCTGTAAATCATTCGTATGTGGCAGTCATCCTTGTTCGACATTATTACGATCATTTTTCGATCTTTGTCGAGGTAAGAATATTTCTCTTTGTTTAGTTTCTTATTTACGTTCGATATCTTAAAACGTATTCAAATGTTAACGATAAACAGTTTGGGCCATATTTCGCGCAATCTGTGCATCGATAATGGTTTCGTCGCCTCGTAAACTCGATCACGGTTTCAACGTCCGTATCAGCGCGACGGTGATAGCTAATCAGCGGTTATTATTGCCACGGTCAAGATGAAACTTTTATTGCTCGTCATTGGGAATGCCTACTACAGTGGCCACATTCGAATGAATTATTCCCCTGGAAGTCGGAGACGCGTTAATAGGCGCTTCAAGCAAAGGAGCTGCTAACGACTGTCGATTAGATACCGGGAATCGGTGATGCGAGTTAAATTTATTGCTTTCTCGTGAAACGATTTTCTAGTTTCAAATTATGGGTTATTTTCACGAAAGCATCTTATCGGCCGACGTTCGATTTGTTTTACTTGGTTACGTTACGAGACAAATTTAATGAATCGATTGTACAAATTGTACTTATTATTTATGATCGATCTATCGAACGAATGTTTGTCGTTACGGAACGAATATTTCAATTAAATAACGTTGAATTTAATATGTTTACATGGAACCTAAATGTCTGAAAATATTTAACAATCTTAGATAAGGCATATCAGAGAACACGATCACCCACAGGTGACTCATCGAGCATATTCACGTTAAGTAGAACGTACGCCGTTAACCTGAGATTAGAGAAAAATACTTTAATCGCCGCATTTCCTGGACTTTGAGGTATTTTCTAATAACTACTTCATTAGGATTGGTAACGCACTTCTTTCAGGCCTTCGAAGAGGAATGCGAAACTTTCCAACCGACGAGGACATAAATTGAAAAATTTCCATCATCCCTATATATATATGTGTGTGTTTGTACGTATTAGGCTGACATTCGCGGCTAATCACTCTCGCATCGATTATATGCCGTTGAAAATGTTTCGCGGTAGGGGACAAATTCCATTTACTCCCATTTGCTATATCGGCGAAGAACAAGCGACGCTCGACCCAATAATCGGATCAAAATCAACTGGTTGCCGAGGCTTATCCCCCCTCCCCCGCACGGTTCCCCATCCTCAATTACAGCTGCTTTAGAATTAATTGCTTCAACGAAGAGTCGCATATTTCGTTATTCTACAAATAATAAATTCGAATCCTCCGTCGAACCTGAACGTCTAAAAGTGTCTTTGAGAGATCAACGGATTTTAATTCAACCAAGGTCGACGGCCTCGAGACTCCGTCGCGTCGTCGAAGAATCCGGGCGTCGTTAATCCAAAACGGAACGCACCCTTTGTTCCCTCCACCCCTCCAAGGTGGGTTATAACTCAAACCAGGCAATGTTTTCCCACGCGCGTGCTAAATAACGTCGACATTAAGCGAGCAGGATGGCTGGATGAGAGAAGAAGGGGGGAAGGGAAGGTGTTCAGTATAGAAAGACGACGCGGAAGAAGCGGTCGAAACGGGAGCTGCTACGGGGGTGTAGCGTGGCCGTGGATGGCGATGGCGGGAGAGAGGAAGAGTGCAAAGATAAGCGAAACGCGGAATAATTTATCGCATTACCCGTATCGCGGAAAACTGCGACGCTTCTGGGAATAAAATGTTAAATACGGCGCGTACATGCCACCGCCGCCAAGACCACTTTTATCACGTCGGTCCACGGACCGAATAGACCTTTCCACGAAGCTAGTGGCCGTGATAACACCGGAAACGACCATCCTTCGTCGAGGAGAATTATTGTTCACGGGTGTCGCGGGCATCGGTGTTCGCGTAAGCGCAGAAATATTAACTCTTCGGTGTCCGACGTCGCGCGTCTACCCCGTGACTACGTGTATCGAGGAGCCGATGCCGCCGCTACACCAAACGGACTGTTTTCAAGAAAGGTATATGGTAGAGATTATAGAGTTAAAAACGAATATCGGAAGAACTTCAGGTCGAATCCTTTCCTTGTTAGTTCCGTTCGGTACCGCTTGATTCGTTCGACGATGACCGAGGCATCTTCGTCAGGGAACTCGGGAATTTTGCGCACGTTACAACCTCGGGTCACGTTCTCCAGCGAGATTCGAGGTCGTAAGTTACCGTTCGTCCGTAGAAGGATGGCCGTGAATCGGTCTTTTAAAAGGAAGAGATAGGTTCCCTACTTCCATCGCAAAGTAATAGTTTTATCGGGACGCGAGGATGTGTTTCCGCAGGCTAAAGTACCCCTGGAAAATTAGCGACGGGATCGAATCCAATTTGTACCCGTGAATCCAAGCAAAGTCGATATCCAAGATTCTCTTGGCAGATTTACATACATAATTCTCGTAGGGAAAGAGTCACGGTAAATATTCTGGATTCGAACTCGTCGATAAGGTACTTCGATCCCATCGCTAGCGAAAATCCCAAAGCCTCGGAATTAAGAGTGCGCAAAGACGCGTAGTAGCGCGCGCAGTCGGTACGGGTCAAATATTTGAATAGCCGCAGGGGTGGAACAGGGAATGGCGGAGGGTAGGAGGGCCACGAATACTAGAAAAGAGCCGTACGGCTAATAACATTACGTCTTTAGGATACTCTCGGGCAAATTACATTTGCCGAGCGAGTCTGCGCCGACCACAGCGAGTAAATGGAATAATAATAAGAGCACGGTGATATCGGGCGGAATTGTGGGCCGCGGAGACGAGTTTAATAATCAAAGTAATCCGTCCGCGCGAGCCGAACAGGGGAATCGATAATTTAGAGCTTTTCGGTGGGCACCGGTGGACAAATTCCATCGGCATGATTAATCTACGAACACTTGTTTGTTTTTTCAAGGGGAACTGAATTGAATTGAATTGAATTGAATAATTCCTCGTTGAGAAATAAACAAAAACTATGAAGTACATATTTTCCCTGTGAGGCTCCCTTTTCAAGCAAATCAACTTTGAAAACCTGTTGCGCGTGCGTGGTCTTTACAAAGGCGCCATGATGGGGCTCCAACGCGCCGGTTTAGACTCGCGTTTCCGCGAAACGAAAAATCGAACGAACAAATGTCGTTGTACATTTTCGACTCGTGTAAACTCGGAGCACGTATCAAAGCGATCGTTAAGCAAATCCTAGCTTGTGCTCCTTTTGTCTGCTGGCAACGTCCTCTCCCATTGTTAAAGGCTCGGCTCGCGTTGTACGCGCCGCCCAAACTTACTGACTTTTGTACACTTTGCCATCAACTTGGCAAACGACATTACTCGGCGGAGTCGAAAGGGAGGACGAGTCGATAGCGTCAACCTTTGAAGAAGACGCCGATATTAGTCGTTCTTGTCCTCGTCCTTGGCGAAATTCGTTCCCAATCCAGGGACAAGACGAACCCGATCGAAGGAGGGAAATTAAATCAGCCTCGGGCCAAGGAGTCGATACTCGTCGTACGCGATAGCCCGTGGTCCAGCGTTATCGAAACACCGGTACCACCGTGCGCTACAATTTCGAGGGTCATTTATTTTCCACCCTGCGCGGCGAAGTGAGATCGTAGCGGCCGTGGAACGAGACAGAGCCAGGCTCCGACCTCGTCGATTCTCGTACGGGATGCGTGCGTGCAACGTGGATACGTATAACCCCACGGTGTACCTTGCTCCTTTTTTCTTGTTTCCATCGGCGGATCGGAACGAGCGGAGGCGCCTGTGCATCGATCAACTGTCGAACGACCAGCCGCTAATTGCGCTGGCCACAATATCTTGATCAATCGAGCGTGGGGCGTTGGAATTAATTAGAACGATGACGTGCTCAGCCGACGTGGTTGATGCACTCACGAGGAGGCGAGGCTGTCGGGTTCGACGGTGTTCCTGTCGCTGCACAGGCCAGATAGCCTATCTTAAGTGAGTAGTTTCCTTTCTGCTCGCCTGGTGAAAAAACAAGAAACCAGCTACCCTACCCCCCGTCCCTAGATAAAAGGAACAAATTGCGCCAGGACGCCCGTGAGTTTGGCGCCTGCCATCGTCGTATCTGTCGGACTCGAAGCCACCACTTCCTAGGGTTAATTTGATTCGGAGATAAATTCGCGTCGCGTCCCTCTCGTCGTTCGTCCTTGGTTCGTGGACGCGTCGGGGCTCTGGCCGATAAGCCGGATAATTTTATCGCTTCCGATCGATTCTATTAAGCGGTTATGACACCTTGGCGACGTCGATCGTGGAGGACATTCGAGAATTTTTTTCCATAGATACCGGACCCCTGATGGAAGTCTATGTTATTTTTAAAATACACTTTTTCTTAAACAGGTTTCTTTTACAAGAAAATTAACGCCGAAGCGCGTACTACCTCGAATTACGTTCTTTGTACGCTCTTCGTTAAACGCTGTTTACTTTTGACATTTTCGAATCGTTGGATGGAAATCGATAAATAAATCCTGCAAATCGTTGATCGACGATTGGTCTTGTCGACGAGACCCAATGTAAAACGCGTACTGTATTTTGACAGGCAGGATTTCGGGAAGCGACAGCGTCGAATTCGTAATTGGCGGTGTACGCGAGACTCCATCGTCGATTCCTCGAAGGAACGTCGCTCGAGAAAGAACGCTGGACGTTTTCGAGAGTCATCGTCGCGTCACGGCCTGGAATTACGGAGTTATTCTGTATTAAGTGGCCATTCTATGACCCTCCTCTCGCATACCTTATTAGGACTGATTACGCCATAACAGCCGTCAACTCGATCCCCCCTGAGCTTCGTCACTTCCAAATCCTGACGAGCCGAAAAAAAGCTGCATCGTAACAGCCGCATCGAGACAGGATCTTATCGGTGGTATCGCGTTTTCGAACGAAAGGTGTGAAAAAACGCCTTTGCTCGTTTAGATCTCGAACCGTTCCACTAATCCGGCTCGCTTTTACGAGTATTTAGTTCGA